GCTTCTTAAGTGTGATTACTCCTACGCTAAGGTTCAGCATTTTTTGTCAAACAAAGGCAGGACTAAAATTAGGGATGCCATGTTGGAAATGGATTCACTCTAGTGGGAGTTGGTAGACAGATGATAGCGATGCCCAATGACATTGTTGATAAAAGTGGCAGCCATTGAATTATACAAATACATAATACATTAGAGCATACTTAAAGCTGAAAAGGTTATTATAAATTCCATATGTTCAAGATGATAGAGGAAAATATGAGCATGATAAGGCAAGACAAATTGTCTAGAGATAATGTAGTGTTTGAGATGAAAAAATACACTGATGAGATTAGCTAAAGGTTAGACATGGCAAGGAAAATATTAGTGAACTTGAAGACATAACAATAGAACTATTCAAAAAGAACCAGAACAAAGACTGGTCAGTACTGGAGAACAACATCAGATGTCCTAATCTATGCAATTGGAGCCTCAGAAAGAGGAGAAAGGAGCAGAAAATTCTGTTTGAAGAAATGTTTAAACATTTTGCAAATTTAATGAAAAGTCTCAGCTCAAGATATTTTTGAAGCTCAGTGAACTTCAAATAAAAGACACATGGAAAAAAACTAACCAGGTACCTAGATTGTTCATCATTATTATTAGATATGCATAAAAGAACTAAATATTAGAAATATTTTTTGAAGTAATAGCAAAAATAATTAAATTGCAATTAAGCAAATCAGAAAACTTTGACTTTCATGATGGATATAACCATATTTTTAAGAGCATGCTCTATCTTTATTGTATTTTTAAAATTTTTTTTATTTATTTATGTATTTGGTACAGAGTCTCACTATGCAGCTCAGACTCATTGTGATCTACCTGTCCCAACCTCCCCAGCATTCGGATTACAGGCGTGTACCACCATGCCCTGTACTAGGGATCAAACCCGGGTCCTTGTGCTTGCCAAGCAGGCACTTAGACTGCTGAGCTATTGCCACAGTTCCCCTATTTTTAAATATGGGGTGTACACTGTAACATAGATGTGACAGCATGCCTGTTCCTTACAAGACCAAAACAAAATAAAGCAATCAATCATTAATAAAAACTGAAGATACAACTACATTATCAGATAAGTGACTCATTTTTTTCTGGTAGCTTGGCAGAAAAGGGATCAAAAATTTGGAATCCACTAAATTAGAAGTTTAATTCTTTCCTCCATGTATGACCTTAAAGAAGTGAGTTTTTCTCTTTCTGGCTTTCATTTTTCCATCTATAAATTTAGAATAGTACTGCCCAGTTTCATGGAATCATTGATGGCTAAACAAGCTAATGCATATGAAAATGCCTTGCATATATGTATGATCATGTCTGTGTTCATGGTGTTTTTACTTTCCTTTTTCCAATGCTTCTTCTCAAGCAAAGTTTTCTGGCATCTCTTTTTGTTCCTCCTCCATCAATATATTTGTACTGGCGGAGATCTTAGATGTCATTTAATATATGGCCCTCTTTTTACAGATGAAAAAATGGAGATCCTGCAAGATCATATGTTTACCAACGGGGAGAATAGTCTGTTATCAAACTCTACTCTGTAGTTTAAATAATGACATTAAATGCAATTTCTCTGTGCCTTCCCAGAAGCAAAATAGGAGTTAACATTTGCTGATAATTTTATTTTAGAACAGAGTAATGCTGATCTTAAAAGTAAATGTTTAAATAAATATGCTCATATTACAACCAAATTTCTAGAATGATAGAAGTATTGTTACACGCATTTTATGGGAGGATAAATGAGACAAGGAGCCTAGCTTTCAAGTTCCTGGCTGAACTAATTACAAACTAGATATCTGAATACCATATTCAGTATAGAAGAATATGCATCTTAAAACAGACATTCTGAAAAAAATAGACATTCTGTAAATGTATGAAACAAAGACTATAACAAGACATGAAAAATAAATTGCAGGTAGCATAGTATGTAAAACATAGTTATAATGTGTACTTGATTTTTATAAAAATTAATTTTAAACATGAATACAGATCAGAGTATAGACCACAAAGAGAGCCCACACCCAGAAAGCCACACAGAAGCCATGGTGTGGCATGCAGCTCTCTGGGCAGAGGCCCAGGAAATTAGAAGTAGGCTTTCCATGTTTCCATTTTTAAGTACTTGCAATTGTTTGATTTAAAATATATATTAAAAAATTAGCAGCCAAGACTATTTATAGTTACTGGAACTTTTCAGAGAGAATAACAAAAGCACTACAGAGCAACTGAAGTTTTAAATAATTCTTTGTAAATGCCCTAGGTTAATTTAGATCCCTGAAAACACATTAGGAAATTAAGCTGTAATGTGAGCTAATTCAGATTTTAATTTGGCAAAAAGAATGATCCAACTACACAGTTAATGTAAATAGAAGCATAACACAGGGAAATTAATGAGGTTTCCTTGTGATGAATCTTCAAGGAGGTAGATAATTAGCTTCTTTTGTTATTATTGTAGGAGAATGTGGCATTGTCTCTGAGGTGTAAAATAACTGTGGCTTACTAAGTGATAATGTGCTTCATTTGTCTTTTTTTAATAATTATTTATGTTAAACTCTGCAGGATGAAGCAGCAGCACAGCCGCTGAATCTCTCATCCAGACCCAAGACAGCAGAGCCTGTAAAGTCCCCAACATCTCCCACCCAGAGCCTCTTCCCAGCCAGCAAAACCAGCCCTGTCAACTTGCCAAACAAAAGCAGCATCCCCAGCCCCATTGGAGGAAGCCTGGGAAGAGGATCCTCTTTAGGTAAATGGAAAAATCAACACCCGGAAGAGACTTATGAATTAGGTAAAAGAAAGCAAACCTGTGATGACCAATCCTTGTTTCCTGTGTGCTTTTCAGTACAAGATAACACTCTTTATCTTTTCTACTTAAATATAGCTCAATTTGGTATGTTGGGTGATTAGAACTTTAGGAAAATACCTCCTGGGATGTTTTGTCAGTGGTGATGGGTTAGACACAGCGAATCACAGACTTAGGAATTTCAGTATTTAGTCAGTACTTTGCCTCTACAATGTTTCCAAGGACCTCAAGACCGGGCCCTAAGGCTGCTCAGCAAAAGTAAAATGTTAGGGCTGGGGATATAACTCAGGGATAGAGTTCCTGCCTAGCATGCACTAGGCCTTGAGTTCAAAGCTGAATTAATTAATTAATTCAAAGTCTTTTTGAAATTACTCCAGGATTCTCTAGAGGTACTCATCTCTCTGTATAAAAAGTATGAGAGGAAAGTCATGGATTTTGGAACTAGACAGGTTGGGACTGAGAAACTACACCAGCTGTCTGTGTGATCCTGGGAAAGTTATTTAATATTTTTTGAATTCAGTTTTCTAATCTCTACAGAGGGAGTAACATTATTTAGTTTGTAAATTGTTATGAGAATTAAAAGTAGAAATGTGTATTGAGTGCCTAGCACAGATCTCAGAACCTTGGTTGCATTAGATTTTAAAAGATTAGGGTGAGTATAAATCAATATATATATATATATATATATATATATATATATATATATAGTTTAATGGAATAAAACCATAAATATGAAAGCAATTAATAGCAAGAGAGTATCAGAAAGTATTGATATTGTTACTGTACTCTTTATTTTTCCTAATTTCCAAATGAAAAAAAGATTCAAAGGGATTAGGGATTAGATCTAGCATTTCTTCCCCATGTGGCCTCTCTTGTAACATTGAGTTCTGAAGCCTGGTTTTCTGCTGTAATACAATGATGTGTAAACCATTTACAATTTAACAACGTTTCTGCTTACTTTGTCTAATTTGATTTCTCATGAGAATTTTATGGGTTGGATATTTATTATTATGCATATTGTATAGGTAAACTATATCTTGCTTCTTACTGATAGAATGATTTTCCCACAACCCTGTAGCTATTAATTAGCCCAAACAGGACTAGAATCAGAGTCCTTGTTCACAACTCAGTCCTGCTTATAAACTCACAGTTGGGTGATTTGTTGAGCTGAGTCTAAGTGAATCTTTTGATAGAGAGAAATAAATCTTCCTCGTTGGACTTTGGGACAATAAGATCCGCACAGCAGCCTATTGTGTGTTGCGGCATCTCATTTAGGGACCCAGGGGATTTCACCCCACGTCAGTGGTGTCCATGTAGAAGAGAGAAGTGAATCATTTCCAGCATGTGAATATGAAGAGTATCCCTGAGGTGTAGTTTTAGATATTGTGAAGTGGGAGATAAAAGCCAACAGAAAGACAACTAATAGACTAAATCTGGAAATGGTCCTCCGCTAATTCAGTTCTATATTTTTTAAAAAGCATTTCTTTATGGCAGGTCTCACAAGACAAAGATGACTACGTCTCTGGTTGCCTGTTCTTAGGGAACTTCAGCAGAGCATATTCATTAGGACATGAACCAGATGATCTGAAGCAATAGCAACTACAGTTTTAGATAGTACTCTTGTCCAGATAAGATTGGATAGAAATGGTTTCCTCTTTTAACTGGAAAATATCCAAAATTATCATTTTTCTGTATCTTGAAAAATAACTGACTTGAAACATTCTTTGAGAGGGCCAGGGAGCTAGCTCAGTGGAATGAGTGCTTACCTGGCAAGAGCAAGGTCCTGACTTTGATCCCTGGTACCACCAAAAAACATTCTTTAATAATCTTGGGAATATTTTGTGTACTCAAATGCATATGCAACCCCATTGCCCATAAGGGACATGTGACAAGAGCTTGATAATTGTCTGGTTTCCTTTGTTCCTGTGTTTATGCAAGGTCTCCATGCTTAGCACATACACGTCAGCAGGTGCTATGACGTGCTCCTGGCCTCAAACAAATAGTTCATGTTAAAATTTGCCACAGCAGCTAAACCTATTGAGCATCAAACAATGACCTGCTTTTTGTCTACAATTAGAAAAATGTATTGAAAGTATTCAGTTTACCAACAGTAAAACACAGGATGTGCAAAAAAAATTACTCAGTTTCATTTCTAATTTTTAATCTCTGTATTGTGTGGAATCTAATGAAAGCAAATATTTATTCTCACTTTATTTGTACTTATGTGAAATCACTCCCACATATATCGCGCTGCTGTCATGAAGACAGGAAGCTGAGAGCAGTGGGTGTTCGAGCTGGGGGTAGGGAACGGGTTGTCATTCTCTTGGTAAATAACTGAGGCAGCATGAGGGAAAAACGCTTCATTAACCAGCCAGCACTTGGAAGAGTGTGGAGGACTCCTTCCACCCCTCACTCCTGCCGTGGACACATGCGTACATACATCCAGATGTCACCAAAGTACACACGAATATAGCCTCACAGATTTTTTTTCTGGTAGGCCAGAAACAGCTTTCCTACATGGATAGACCAAACATAATGGGGAGCCTCAGCTCCCTTCCCTGTTCTTTCCTGCTGCTTCCTTACAAAGGAGACAGGATTATACACAAATGTGGTGACAGTCAGAACAGATACCAGATACAAGTTGCAATCTAGGAACCTTCATGGGTTAGAAGTTGAGTAGACAAAATGCACCTAGAGTAGAGTGCTGGAATATGCTCCAAGGGCAAAAGAAAAAGAAAACACACTCACATGCATGTGCACATGCATGTGCACACACACACACGCACACACACACACACACACACACACACATACACACATACACACATACACAGAGGCTTAGCTTAGTTAGCTTGGTTGCCCTGGCTTTCTGTGCTGTCTGCATAGTGTGGTAGAGATTTCTCAATGACAAACATAGTTCTGTTCAGAGAACACAGTTCTGCAGAGGAGTGGGTGGATGGTCGTGGCATTTTCAAAGAATTTACCCCAAATAATGCATCTTGTGTACACAGATATCTTGTCCAGTCTCAACTCCCCTGCCCTCTTTGGAGATCAGGATACAGTGATGAAAGCCATTCAGGAGGCTCGGAAGATGCGAGAACAGATCCAGCGGGAGCAGCAGCAGCAACAGCCACATCCTGTGGACGGGAAACTGTCCTCCATGAATAACATGGGGCTGAACAACTGCAGGAATGAAAAGGTACCATTCTCTCCTCTCTGCTGTATCTGCTAGACAGACTGGCTCACTCTAACCTGACTCTTCTCAGGCTCTCAAGTATTAACCTGCAGCAACATTTCAGGTCTTTAGCTTACAGACAGTCTTATATTTTACTCACAGTGGTCATTTAAGCATTACTGCTGATTAACAGACACACACTTCGCATGGATTGCCTCCTACACATCCAACCTATGTGTCTATTGCTGGGTGTTCCTGTCACATTCTGAAATACTTAAAAATGTGTTATAGTAAAAGACATGTATGATGTTATTAGAATAAAAATAAGAGTATCAGAGCATTAAAAGGGGAAGAAACACATATGATCACAGAGAAGGGTAGTATGATAACATAACTCACTAATAAATTTAATGTTGTTTCCTACCAACCAGGGAAAAATAATTTCAAAATGCCATCTATTTATTTTTTGATTCAGTAAGTCATCTGTCTGGAATCTATTCGGTGATATGCTTTGTTCCAGGTACTGGAGATAAAAGAGTGAGTGAATCTGAAAAACAGTTCCTGCCCTCCCCCTCAGAACTTATATTCTCCAGGAGGAATATAAGTGTGAAGACCTTGGCCACTAAATACGTAATATAATATCAAGGGGATAAAGAAATGCCATGAGAGAAAATAGAAGCATGTTACAGGAAGAGGGAGTGAGAGGGCGTTTACTTTGAATGGGACAATAAGAACTCCCTGGGGAGGTGACATGGAGTGGGGGAGGCCTCACTGAGGGCATTTGAAAGCACCATGTGACCAGAGTGTGTGGACAGAAGAGGCAGCAGGGAGGCAGGAAGCAGATGCGGCAGCCCAAGACAGAGCCTATTAGACAGGGTGGACTGTGGACAGGCCTTTCGCTTTATCCTGGAGGCGATGGGGATTCCTAGACAGCTTCTGTTCAGGGCATTGAAGTGCGAGACAATCATTCTGCATTCTGTAGAAACGGGCAGACCAGCTGAGAAGTGTTGCAGTAGACAGGACAAAACTTCTCATTATCTGATTTGTCTGATAGAATGAAAATGTCGATTTTTTATGTATTTGGTGCAGGGTCTACAGGATCTTACTACACAGATCAGACTTGTAGTGATCCTCCTGTTTTCAGTGTCCCAAGAGCTGGGATTACAGTTGCGCACCACCATGCCCAGTCACATCGCAGCCACCCTGGGGGGCAGGGGCGCAGCCAGCACAGCAGCCAGGGGATCGAACCTTGTCCCTGAGCCTGCCTAAGTGAGCACTTTAATCTACTGAGCTATCTGGCTGGCCCTGAAATGTTATTTTTTTTTTTAAGAGACTAAAATACCTAGTGCTAAACTGAGAGGTTTCTTTTTTCTTTCTTTCTTTTTTTTTCTTTTTTTTTTTTTTCCCACCATGGATAGAATTATACAGGGGCAAATAAAACCATGATGGGTAATGTCTTTGGTAACAGTTTTAGAGTAATTTTTAAATATTTCCTTTCATGTTTATGGCTTAGGAATATCATTTACTGAAGTCAGAGCCCAAAACCTTCCTTTTGTTTCAGTTCTTGTCAATTTTCTCATGAAATTTGATGAATCTCCCCCAATCAGAAGAAAACATGTAGTTTTTCTGATTCCTAGAAGGGATTTTAATTTTACAAGTTAAGGAAGTCGTAAGTATGTGGTCCTGTGTGCTGTTACCCAGAGATCTGAGTGCATAACCGTACCAGGGTGCTCATTTCCCCGTTTCCTTTTCAAAAGGTGTGGTGAGATGATGATTTGGGACGAGCGATGCATTTATTTCTTGGAATGAATAAATGTCCACAAACTGAGTTACTGCATACAACAGAAGCTTATTCTTTCAATTCTTAAATCAAGGCCAGCCTCAAATCAAGTTCTTTGCAAGTTGCTAAAGGAGACTCATCCCTTCCTTCTTCCTGGCTTTTGATGGTTGTAGCAATCTTTGCCATTTTTTGGCTAGCAGCTACCTCAGTCCAATTTCTGCCTCTGTCTTCCACAGTTTCTTTGAGAGAGAGAGAGAGAGAGAGAGAGAGAGAGAGAGAGACAGACAGACAGACAGACAGACAGACAGACAGACAGACAAAGAGACAGAGACTGACAGACAAAAAGAGATAGAGGAAGATAGAGACAGAGACACAAAGAAAGTGTACATGTGCTTCTCCTGTGTCCTCTTATCATTGATGTGTTCCCACCCTTTCCTTGAGACATATATCTGCTAAGCCATGCACTTGAGATTAATATATTTTTTTCACTTCCCCAATAAGTGTCCTGACCCATTTCAGGATCTTGATGGGAGCTCACGGGCAGTAGGCTCCTTCCAAGCTGCCTCAGTAAGTGAACACTGATAGCGTGTGGTTTCAGTCCAACAGAGAAGAAAAGATTTGCTCCTAAACATTTATTACTGTGATATTAGAGATAGTCATTTTTGCTTTTTAATTTTATGGAAAAATTTTAAAAATCATAAAGTAACAGTAGAATAATGATGGTTAATACATTTATTGTTAATCTTCAATTAATTACTCACAATACAAGATATGAGCATAAAAATTCTCCAAATGATATTAGCACAAACTTTTCTTTAATGAACTAAGGGAAACTAATAGTACAGCCATCCTGTGTCTCTATTTTCCTCCCTTCCTGTGCCTTCCCCCATTCTAGTTCTCTTTCCTTTTGAAGCATTTCTTCCTGCTTCACAATATCTGTTGTACATTTTGGTCTTTCTTTACTCTTTCAGTTCCTCGCACAGGGAGATAATAGTCTTCCACTCAGTTCAAATATCATGAAACAATAAATTAAATTTTAATGTGAAAAAAATTAAGATCCTGCTTTGTGACATTGGTAAATGAATACTTTTGGACATAGAGATAATGAATGGAAAATTGGATTAAAAGGAAGAAAATGGCACATTTTTGAGGACTACCTCTTTATAATTTTCAAAGAGTTAATCCAAAAATTAATTTGAGAAGCATGTCAGTGACTTTAAAATTTTCACCTTTCAATTTTTATTAGTTTTAAAAATAAGGCTATATTTTACTGAAAATTTCAGTAATGCAGAAAGATATATGGTGAAAAAGCTAATCATTCTCTTTGACCCATTAACTACCATTAATTATTCGGGAATTTTCTTTGAGTAGTAACAATTATTAGTGACTCAGAAATTTTCTTGGCATAGACAAGAAAGTGTTAATGAGTTTAAAAGTACATATGCTCACTTGGAACAGTAATCACTGAGTTGTCACTTATGAGCAGTGTGGTATTTGGCAAATTGATTAACCTCAAATTCTTCATCTGTAAAATGGGGATAATAATTTAAGCTATAATAAAATTAGATACATAGGATTGCACCTAGCTCAGTTCCTGGCACAAAGGTAGCCACTCTCTTAGCTTACATTTCCCATAATGTTAAATGAACCCATAAGTAGCTGAAATGTAAAGAACAAACACAGTCGTCCCCACTTAGCTGCAGGAGAGGTTTCAAGAGCCCTAAAGGTTGCCTGAAACCATAGATAGTATCAGTTCTGCATCTTTTCTTGTTTTCTTTCTAAACAAACATACCCTTGATAAAGTTTAACTTAGAAATCAGGCACAGTGAGAGAGATTAGCAATAATAACTAATAATAAAGTTATATTGTAATAAGTGTTACATTATTGTTCTCTCTGTCTGTCTGTCTGTCTGTCTGTCTCTCTTTCAATATTGTACTTCACTTACCTTTATCTTCTTGTGATGGTGGGAAAAGACATAATGCCCATGTGATGGGATGAATCAAAAGATACAGACATGAAGAATTACTTGAACACAGCACTGTGACACTCAGACACTTAATCTGATACTGAGGTGGCTACTAAGTGGCTGACATATAGGTAGTGTATATAGCTAAGTACACTGAACAAAGGAATGATTCAAATTCTGGCCAAGGTGATGTGAGATTTCATCATTCCACCTAGAATGGTATGCAATTTAAAACTTTTGAATTGTTTATTTCTATAATTTTAGTGTAATATTTTCAGACCATAATTGACCACACAGAACAAAACACCTGGAAAGCACGAGATATATGGGGAAACAACTCCATACTTTCTAAACCTTTTCTTTTTCTGCCAAGGCTTTATTAGGCAGAAAGGGAAGAAGATATTCTGTTGCTGGTCACCAAGTTCCTCATGGTAGCTAGAACATTAGCGCCTCTCATGCCTTGCTAGTATGTGCCCAACATTTTTTTCATAAACTTGAGGGGTCTTCTTGTCCTTGGAAACTTTTAGTAATGCCACGGTGCATCATTTTTATGAGACAGAACTACACATACCTTTTGAAACACATCCCACATATACTCGCCTTACCTGGTGAGGCTGTTACAACAAGTACCATAAACCGAGTAGCTGAAACCTCACAACTTATTTCCTGCAGTGTGGAATTCTAGAGGTGTAAGGGCAGGCTGACAGCATGGGAAGGTCTGTGTGAGGGGTATCTTTTGTCCACCATCTTGCTTTATTCTCACATAGGGAGAATAAGACTTCTGATCACCTCCTCCTCTTCTTAGAAGGGCACTAACATAAGTTTGAGGCCTGTTCATCCTCACGCGCTCATGAAGCCTTACCTACTTCTGAATGTGCTCCTCCAGTTATCACACGAGGGATCAGGGCTTCAACACATGGATTTTGACAGGACATGAAAGTTTAATCCACAGCAATCTTGAATTGTATCACTTATTGAAGTTTAATGCAGACACTACTGCTTTTAAATTCTACGGATGAATTTTACATTATTTCTAATTATCTTTTCTTAATTCATTTGGGAGGAGAAAGTCTGAGATGAGAAACAGTGAAACTATTTTGATTTGTAATACATAGGAGAAAGACAACAGGTAAGGTTGACAATGGAAAAAAATAATAAAAACTACAATTTCACTTAAAACATATGCTAAATATAATCGATCCCTTCATAGTAACTGGCAAAGTGGTTTCTACAGAATCAGGAAACCCTGGTTCCTTAGTTGAAGGGAATCATTGTAT